TGACCGATCGATCCTAAGTATACACCCTATTTTTGTGCTCATTCCTCAGCTTGTTTTTGTCAACGAGTTTCCATACATCACCTGACTTTAGCTTGTGGCTTTCTGTCTCCCATCCCTCTCTAAGATTTTTCGTGACCTTCTCTGCTTCCTCTACGTCAACATATTTGTCGCCTTTTTTAACAGTTCATGCATCGACTCTGGAGGGTTTTTGGAGATTGACATCTTGAAGGCCCGATTTCGCGTCCCATTCATTAATGTTGTTACAACTGCAGACATTTGAAGGTCTCTTATACCATGCGTCGCCCGACTTAACTTAGCCCAATACTCCTGAAAGGATTCATCTTTCACTTGTACAACCTGTATCAACCTTCATGAAGTATGCTACGAAGCTCCTGGAAAGCTCATCAAAAGTTTTTGTAGACCTGGGCGCTAGTGTGGCCACCCAGTCTCTAACCTACCTCCTAAGTGTCAAGGAAACGACCTGCACATCACTGCGTCTGGGGTTGCATAGATTCTCATTAAATCAACAAAAGTCCGCAAATGGTCCAGCGGGTTTGTGACTCCGTCATATGCTTCTATCATTAGCTATTTAAAGCTTTTCGGCAAAGGACCAACCATAATTTTGGGGGCAAAAGGATCTTCCTCCAGAACCATTTGCCTACGCCGTCCTTCCTCTTAGTCAATACATCGTCTATCTTCAAGTCATCATCTCTTCTATGTTCTTTTCCAAGTCTTTCACAGGTTGGGAAATTTGTGGAAACACAAACCTTGAAGCCCCCATATCTCTTGTTGTTGGTTGAGTAACAGGTGGTGTAATCGTTTGCGCCACCTGAGGTGGTTGCTCACATACGGCTTCCAACGAACTCTGCGGTGGGGTTGCAATTTTTATGTTTGATTCTGCAAGAAGGTCATTATGGCCGCTAATTGTGTCTCCAAAGCATTGAATTGGCTCTGAGTTACGTACTGCGGTGGCTGGTCATGACCCCGAGCGACAAACTCTGACTCCGTCTATGTTGTATTTCCGACCATGCGTGTTTAGGTCATTATGGCCGCTAATTGTGTCTCCAAAGCATTGATTTGGCCATGCGTTACGTACTGCGGTGGCAGGGGCGGGGCTTGACCCCTGGCAACGGACTCTGACTTCGTCTCTGTTGTATTTCCGACCATGCGTGTTTCACTCCTAATCCATCTCCTTGACATAGTTTTTTGTTCGGTATTTACCACCTGCAAAATGAGGTCGGGGCTCTCTCCCCCATTGTACCTTCGGCGTGCGAATTAGTATTCAGTATTAGAGAATATGGAGAGATAATATTGGAATTCAGATAGTTCGGGTTTTTAGTAGCCATACCTTTCTCAATTTGGAAGTATTTATAGGAACTTGTTGCTATGCACGTTTTCAGTAGTTAATGGTGCCACGTGTCCCACATAGACCTTCCTACTTCCTCCATGTTCTAACGTGGTGACTCCCACTTGTCAAGCGATTGGTTGTGCCCATGTTCGCTGTTGGGTGGTTTCAGTCCTATGCATTCCCATTTGTATGGTTCAGCATAGTATTGACCTCACGGTGGTAGGCGGTCTATGTGAACGTAGAGGGCTCCATGCGGGTCGACGGCCTCATACGGGTCGACGGTTGTAAGATTGTCTTTGTCAACCGCGTACGTGGTTACAAGCTTGTCACCCACGTACGCAGTTGCAAGATTAAGATTGTCACCCGCGTACGCAGTTGCAAGATTGAGATTGTCACCCGCGTACACATGGGGGGTGGTAGAAAGTCTTAGCGGGATAGACAGCCTCAGCGGTAGACCACCTTATAGGGGTGGTAGACGACCACATGGGGGTCGACGGCCTCACGGTGGTGCTCTACGTGGAATGTTTGTCACCCGCTTATGCGGTTGCAAGATTATCACCCGTGTGCACATGGGGGTGGTAGAAAGCCTCATGTGGGTAGACAACCTTAAGTGGTAGACCACCTCATGAGGATGGTAGACGACCACATGGGGGTCGATGGCCTCATGGTGGTGCTCTATGTGGAGTGTTTGTCACCCGCGTACGTGATTGCAAGATTGTCACCCGCGCACATATGGGGGTGGTAGAAAGCCTCATGGGGGTAGACCACCTCATCGGAGTGGTAGACAACCACACAGGGGTCGACGGCCTCATGGTGATGCTCTATGTGGAGTGCATATCATGCGACTTAACCATTTTGCATAATTATTAATGACATTCTGTATCAGGAAACTAAATAGATACAAAAGTAATCCAAGTAAATTGTACTGACAAGTGATATATAAAGTCTTTAAATACTTAAGACGGACAATGGATTATTGTGTTCATTATACCGATTATCCTCTAGTTTCAGAGGGATTTCAGGTGCTAGTTGGATCACTAATGGACATGATCGTGAATCTACTAGCTAGTGATTGGATTTTCGCAAATTAGTGGTGGTGCCATATTATGGGGTTCAAAGAAACAAACATGCATTTTGCACTCTATCATGGCAGCCGCAGTTATAGATCTTGCTTGTGTGCGAAGAGAGCGAAATGTGTAAGGAATTTGATAAGAGAAAGTCCTATTTAGCCTAAATTGATGCCAGTGATTATAATTCACTACAATAATGAAGCTACCTTATCTAGAGCATATATTAGGTTAAGACACAGCTCGGAAAGACAATCAATTTCAGATGGTACAATCACTATAGACTATTAAGTCAAGTCAGAATTCCACAGATTTTTTTTTTAAAAAAAGAAAAAAAGGGAATTCAATGGATTTCGTTTGGCAAATATCAAAGAAAATGGGATTGTGGCCAACTAATGATCACCAATTATGAAAACTCGACCTAACACTTAAAACATCAAGTTCTTAGGTTCAATTAGTAGAGTACATTGTATAAGTGATTTGAATAGTAAGTGATAATTGTATTTTATACACTTATTCGAGTTTTAAAATATAGACATTTAGCCCTTGTTTGGGCTCCACTAAAATGTAATTTTGGCTTGGCGGGGGGTGGGGGTATTTTAGAATAATGATTTTTTGAAGAATGTGTTATTCAAAAATAAAAAAAAGTTTTTGATGTACATATAATGTTATTTTGTGGAAGAATATATGGTTGAAAATGAGTTTTTTAAAAAAATGAGTTTTTGAGAAAATGATGGCCAAACATAGGTTTAATAGTAATTTTGATTAATTATAGCCTAATTTAGTGTATATTTCGTTTATTACGCGAAACTCGATGATTTAAAACTAAATTAAAAGAAAGATGCGAAAATTGGTGAAGGTTGGGAAATTCAAAGTTTGCGGACTAAATTGCACACTCCCAATAGTTGATTCAGGCTTAAGATTGACAATTGGAGAATGCTTGTGCTCAGTTGGGTGAAATTGGAAGACGAAGGTTCAAAATTATTTTAATAAAGGACTAAAGAAGATTTCAGGGACTTAAGTTCAATTTTTGGAAAAATTTAAGCCTGGAATATCGCCCGAGCATTTACACTGGGCAACTGCTCAAGCTACAAAAAAAAATCAAGGGCTAAAATCCAAGCCTGGGTGATCACCCTGGTTTACACTGGGTGACTGCCCATGTCAACTCTGGCATCCTTTGCAAAATTTCGAATGTAATTAGAACATTTCTTTGAACGAGTTTTGGACACGATTTTCAACACCTATATTTACACAACAACCTCATACATTATGAAAACCTCTCATACTTTATTTTCATCAATTATTACAAGAAGAGAGAGGCCAATTCATAGATCTTTGGAGAGAAATAAGAGGCATTGCAATATTTCAATTTATTGAAGATTCAACCTTGCTCATTGGAAAAAGAAGAGAAAAAACAATTGGCAATTCATCAAGAAACATCGAAGAAATTTAAATTTTCAAGATTCATTTTTTTTCCATTCAATTTATCCATAATCTGGATTATATTCTTCCTATTAATTATGATTTCTTGTGATTTTGTAATGCTAGGCTATGGTTTTAATTACTAAGACATTAATGAACCGTTATTATGATGTTTTAATATAAATTCAATAATTTGACAGTCAACATGTGTTTATTCTTGGATGATTAATGTAGGATCTAATGTATTATTTTATTACTTGTTCGCGATATCACACATTTGCGAAAAATCAAATAATCGATGAGTTTTAACGCAAGATAAAAGATTGCTTGGTAAACATATCAAGAAAGAAGAGGTTTAGCTAGCTCTTCATAGATTTATATGGATGTTTATAGAATACTTTAACACGTTACTATTCGTGGATGGTACCATCTACAAGGTAGTTTGGCCGACTTAAGATATTCATGAAGTAAACAAGGTATAGGCCAGATGGCCTATTCACATATTTGCTTATTAGTTCTATAAGATTTTGTAAGTTTGTGCATAGATGCTTCCGATTGAGGTAATTTTACCAAGTGGAGGTTCAAGTCTAAAAGACACCTTCATGTATTCGCGAACTAAGTACGTTTATTTGAGAGATTTTGTCAAAATGCAATTTTTAAAATGGTGGATGATTATTGGAAAGATTTTTACCCTAATTCAATTATGTAATTTAAAATTGAAATGTTATGATACTAACTAGGAGATATAATCTTCTTCTAATTTCTACTTCTTGCTTTCTTCTTTTCATTTCTTAGTTACTTTGTGCTCAGAATACTGTAGAGTAGGAATACAAAAGCTCTCATATTAATTTACATACATTTTTAGTGTTGTTAAGTGATGGTTCTCTTGTGCACTCATCTGGTAAGGAAAAAATATTATTTTAAGGAGAGCGTCAACACCTAACTTGGAATATATTGCGAGGATTGATTTGGGTTTGGTTCGAGTTATTGTAAAGCATTCCCCACCAACACTAACTAAATTTAAATTTCAAGAAAAAAAAAAGTAACATTGGAGTTATATTTCAAGAAAAAGTAACCATGGGAGGTGAAGGTTCAATCCCACCATCCCCATATAATAATAAAAAATGTTTGTACTACATTATATATGCACATAATATCTGCTTTTAACGGCCATCGATATTGGTAATGGTCATTTCATTTGCTGTATAAGAAGTAGGATGACTCGACGATGAATCAGTTTTAACAGAAGTCTCTACAAAACCAGGTTCTTTGGGTTGTGACAGTTCTGCACTTTCAGTACTTAGCATTAAAACAACAGAACTCATGGTTGGTCGATCTTCTTTCCTTTTCTGGACGCATAGAAGACCTACCTGGATGCATCTTATGACTTCATTTATTGATAATGATTCATCCACCATTGTATCAATGAGCTCAAGACAACTTCCCTCGTTCCACAACTTCCAGGCCTGAAATGTTAACAAATGAACAAATGTATGTGTTCAGTAGGCTGGATTATATAGTAGTATACAATATTAAGAAAGAAGCTAAAATCTTGTACGGCGTAACCATTTAATGCTATGTACCAAACAGGTACTTAATGTCACAGTCTGCTAGTATACTTACATGTCCTATAAGATTGTAATCATGATCCGGATGATAAAATCCCCAATTCTTCTTGCCGCTTATAATCTCTAACACTATGACACCAAAGCTGAATACATCTGATTTAACTGAGAAATGGCCACTCATTGCATATTCAGGAGACATGTAACCACTACATTCCAATAGACACAAAATTGTGAGACGTCTGTAAATTTTGTTTAACACTGAAATGAATTAAGAAAACAACACACACACACACACACTCAATGCCATAACTTACTATGTTCCAATAATTCTCCGAGTCTTCTCCTCTGTTTGTTCTCCTCCAAAAATTCGTGCAATGCCAAAGTCTGAAATTTTGGGATTCATTTCATTGTCTAGTAAAATGTTACTAGTTTTTAGATCCCTGTGGATAATTCTCAAGCGGGAATCCTGATGTAGATAAAGCAATCCACGTGCAATCCCCAGAATAATTCTGAAACGCTTACTCCAAGGCAATAGCTTTCTTTTAATTGGATCTGCATATTAACCAACAATCGTTAGTAAAATTCATTTAACTTCCTTGTTTTTCGTTTAACATATGTGACAGGTCTGAAGAAATGATTGCCAAAGCTTGGAGCTTAACCGAATATGAAATTGTCCAAGCTTTTGTTAGGCAGGTACTCGTAGATTAGAATTCTTTCTTCTGCTTGAATGCATAATCCCAAGAGCTTAACAAGATTACGATGTTGAAGCTTTGCTATCAAAATAACTTCATTCTTAAACTCTCCGAGGCCTTGCCCTGAATCTTGCGAGAGTCTCTTTACTGCAATTTCAAGTCCATTAGGTAATTTTCCCTACAATCATAATATATGAATTAGAACAACTTCACTGTAGAAGTTTAATTTTCCAATTCTTTGGGAGGTTGATGTTCATGAAATTGAAAGAAAGCATCTGCAATTTTTTACCTTATAAACAGGACCAAAACCACCCTGTCCAATTTTACTGTTGAAAGAAAAGCTGTTAGTGGCAGCAAAAATAGTAGCTAGATCATAAAGAGGTAGTTCTAGGTCTTCCTCTTGATTTTCTTCCTGAAAATTTAAGTATGACTTCTGGTCTTGTTGAGCTGTATTTGAAGAAGGAAAGTAATATTGTCAGAAGAAAGGGTATCAAATGAAGTATGATGATTGGTCTCAAAGGACAAATAGCTAATAAAGCAATTGTGCTGAATTAGATGAATCACAAAAAAAAAAAGATATTTGCATACTTGTTTCCGTGCCTCTTGCCTTCCTCTTTGCCCGATACACATACCACCATACTCCAGTCAAGATAAGAATTAAAAGAAGTGTTGATATGTTAATGACAACAACTGTGATCACAAGCTTTTTCCTCTTCAATGCTGCGATCGAATCTGGCAGTTGCAGTACGGCCAAGGGACAATACTGAGAATCAACGTATCTTAAACAAACTATAGTAATAGAATGGAAAGCAGATTTAAAGAACCCTTGTTACTCGTTCTTCCAGTAATAATGTATAGTAATAATTTTGAGCTGCGTAAGGGGTGTCTGGAACCAAGCTTATCATTGGTATAATAACTACTTTGCAATGACATTGTGCAAATTCTACTGAAACAAAATTTATTGCCATGTGTAAAGCTTCTCCAAATGTAGTAGCTACCTTTCAGAATCAAGAGATAGAGTACATACAATTATTGGTATCCTTGATTTCATTGCCTTGCTCATCAGCATGCTTTTTCTCAAAAAAAATAGCGGAAGAAAAAAAATGACAGCTACGCAATGTTTATCCATCACAGAAACAATCAGAACAATAAAACTGCATACCTAATTCAGCACGTGCCATACGTATGTGGAGCTCTTCCCCACCCTCTGGAAAATCTCGAAGATCGATCAAGTCAGTAAGCCAGACGACACATTTACTTCCATTACCATGAAGATTAGCAAGAGTATAAGCCACACAATCACACTTTTTCGAACATTCTGTTTTACAGTCCTCAATGTTTACATTAGGCCACACAACTGCATTATCTGGCAACTTTAGCTTATTATACTTCACAAATCCATCTTTACCACTGCAATTTATATCATATTTTCTCCTACAACCACCTCCCCAATCAACCATTTTCCAATCTTGTGGTAACCTTGGCGTAAATCCTTTCAAACACCTGCAATTGGGATCATCTGCATAACAATTTCCATTAGGTCCACACATACCATACCGATCACAGTATAACCTATTAAGTATTACCATTAGACTCCATTCCCTACTATGATTCCGCCAGGTGACATACTGAGCTAAACCCGATTGTGTCACCACAAAGTGTGACAGAGTTGATTCATCAAGCAAATGGAAGGTAAAATAAACCTCATCCGAATTAGCAACAAACATGGGTTTGAACACTGCATTAGTCCTCAATTCATTACTGCCACTGAACCTATCCCCATCAAACGGACCCCATCTATATTCCTTCTTTGATCCTTTTCTCAGAATTAACTGAGGTGATTCGGGTGGATCTAAGCCAAATGTATAATCTCCATCGCCAGGGTCCTCACTACTTTTCCAAGACCTCAAAAACCGGTTCATACGAGTTTTTAACTTCCAACCAAGCTTCATTCCAGGCAATAAAGTATCAGACATGTAATCAAAACTTTGCCAAACATAGTCATCTCCGTCACCTTCCTCACTTTTCACCACAAGATTTCCTGAGCCCAAAAGCTGTAAAACCAGACGACTTTTCCCCGTTGCTGTTTTATTAGTAGACCATACAATTCCCATGGAGCTATTGTAAAGCAGCAAGATTCCATTGCTGATCATAGTAAGGGAGCCTGATGAATTCGTAATGGGGTCATTCTTGTTAGCCACCCACACCACTGTAAGAGGGATGTTATGATACCATATTCCCAGGTATCTGTCCCTTGAATTACCCAGCCGAAAAAATCCCAGCTCAAATCTTCTGTTGGAGGAAACTAAGGTTTGGCCATCACTAAGGTTATGGTTTGGTGTTAAGGTGTCTATTGCAATGGAGGTGTAAGACGCTAATGATATAAACATGTAAAAGAAAATGAATAATTGAAGCATATCCATTCTTTCACTGGCATGGGAGTTTGGTTCATGAATTATTATTGATATGCATTCAGTTTCTGAAAAGTCTTTCCGCGAGGATCAAATATCTACAACTTGACATTTAGTCGTTGACTATTGACATTGAGTGTCCATATTGGACTTTAGCATTGCCCTCTACCCATGTCAATAGAACGGTTGGCCGGAGCTCTCTATCCCAAAATTCATTTTTCATTATTAGAAAAATTAGCTTAAAATTGAGAGAAAGTAAAAAAAGAATTAATCAGAAAATAAATTTTAAAAAAAGGAATTTGCTTAAAAAGCCTAGTCAACGATAATATTTGGTAAAATAGTCTATAGTCAATAATATTTAGTAAAATAGCATTTAGTCTATTTTATCACGTATTAAAAGTCATAAATACTCTTCATTTGAAAAGTCTAAAATGTCCAATTTAAAACCAAAATCCCATAATATGAACTCCCACTTTTATTCTAACTTTTCATACCCAATTTAAAACCAACGACAAAATGGCATGCTGCCTTTTTAAACGACTAGGTTCTGTTTTAACAAATTTTGTACTCGTTTCACATTACGTTCCCTCGCACTCACATGAAAATTAATGAAAAACATGTTTTAACTATATGTGGAGTGAAATTTAGAGTTCGTAACCGAAATGACATACTATCGTTATAAACGATTTGATAACGTTTTAATTAATTTTGTGTGTGTTTCACTTGATATTCTCTCGTATCCACATAACAGAAATATTTTCCCTATATTTAGAGTAAAGCGATAAACAACTTTAAACTTCTGAGATCGATAAAAATAAATGTTCACCCAATAGGGATCAACAACGTTGTTTCATGAATAAACTATACTAGTCTTCACTATGAATGAAATTAAGTATCCTAAATTCTATTATACTTCGATTATAGATAAGATACTCAAAAAATTAGTTTGTTTTATACTAGTCTTCACTATGAATGAAGGTAAGTACCTTAAATTCTATTATACTTCGATTATAGATAAGATACTCAAAAAATTAGTTTGTTTAACTTATACAGATCTTTTAAGATGTTCAAAAATATGATTGAATAGTTTTAAAGTGAAATCGAGATTCTGTAACCCAAAATGATATGCTTACATTTTAAATAGCTAGTTGGAATTTCAACTAGTTTTATAATCATTTCACTTCATATTCACTTGTATTTATAAAATTAAATGAATTCAAGTTTTCACCATATTTGAACGGCAAGTTAGATACAAAATTCATCCGACAGTGGCCAACTATTGTTCTGTAACTTACACTCTACTTCACTACGAATAAAGGTAAGTAATACAAATTCCATTATATTCGAATTGTAAGTTAAGATACTCAACAAATAAGCTAATTCAACTTGTACAAGTCTTCTAAGATGTTTCAAACTAAGACCGACTAGTATTTGAGTGAAATCGAGACCCTATGACTTAAAACGGCCTCTGATAGTTTTTAATGAAAGGCTGACGATTCTACTCATTAAATATTAGTACTTGTACAAGTCTTCTAAGATGTTTCAAATATGATCGATTAGTTTTTAAGTGAAATCGAGACCATGTGACCTAAAACGACATCTGATCGTTTTAAATGTATGGCTGACGTTTATACTCATTTAGTGTTTGTTTCTATTCATTCACGTTTGTTATGGATGGATGAATGTTAATTGTTGAATTTAATCTAGAAATTGTGATGGTGTTTGATAAATTCTGTTAGCTATTTTGATCAGGTTTTTGATAACTATGACGTAGCACTATTTGTTCAAACAAAAAGGCATATGTCGGACGTTTCTACTCATTTAGTGTTCGTTTCGATTCATTCACGTCTGTAACATGTGAAAGTTTAGGGATGAAAGTTTTAATTATATTTGACGTTGTGGTCGACACATTTGTTCAAATTATACTGAGTAACTCCATAATCAGGAAATAAACTAAACTACACTTGACAATAAAGAAAAACGTAAGTAACAAGTATGGATCCAAAACATAGCATTCAATGTGTATGAGTCATGAATGATGTTCCAAAGCATATTTTGCTAATTTTGGAGTGACATCGATACCCCTTGACAAAAAAGGCATCTAGTCATTTTAGACGTATGTATGACGTTTCTACTCATTTATTGTTTGTTTTGGTTAATTCATGCCCGTAACCAAAGTTTATGGATGAAAGTTTTAACTATATTTCAATGTTACGGTAGGCACATTTGTTCAAACAATAGTGAGTCACTCCATAATCTGGTAGTAAACTACACTACACTACGCTTGACATCAAAGAAAAACGTAAGTAGCAAGTATGGATCCAAAACATAGCACGTGTAATCGTTCAATGTGTATGAGTCATGTATGATGTTTCAAACATTGTTTTACTAGTTTCAGAGTAAAATTAATATCACTTGACCCCAAACGGCATCTAATCATTTTAAACGGAGGGTTTTCGTTTAGGATTTAGATTTTAGGGTATACGGTTTACAAAACAGAAAAACATGTAATTGATCAACACACATTTTTAAACAACTAAGTGTCGTTTTAACAAATTTTGTGTTCATTTCATTTTATGTTCCATCATATCCACATGAAAATTAATGAAAAACATGTTTTAGCTATATCTGGAGTGAAATTTTGAGTTTTTAACCAAAATAACATGCTATCGTTATAATCGATTTAATACGTTTTAACTAATTTTGTGTTTGTTCCATTTTATATTCTTTCGTACCCACATGAAAATGAAAGTAGAAAAAATTTCATTACATTTAGAGTAAAATCGATAAGTAACATTAAACATCCAAGATCGATAAAAAAAAAGCTCACCCGATAGTGATCAACAACATTTTCCATGAATAAACTATACTAGTCTTCACTATGAATGAAGGTAAGTATCTTAAATTCTATTTGTTCAACATGCCTTTTTAGAGTAAAATCGATAAATAACATTAAACATCTAATTTTGTATTTGTTTCACTCTATATCCTCTCGTACCCACATGAAAATGAAAGTAGAGAAATTTTCACTATATTTAAGTAAAACTGATAAACAATATTAAACTTCCAAGATCGATAAAAAAAAAAAAAGTTCACCCGATAGTGATCAACGACATTATTCCATGAGTAAACTATACTAGTTTTCACTATGAATTATGGTAAGTGTCTTAAATTTCATTATATTTCAATTATAGATATGATACTTAAAAAATTAGCTTCTTAAACTTATATAAGTTTTTTAATATGTTCATCTGATAGTGACCAAGACTATTGTTTTGTAAGTAATTTACACTCCACTTCACTACGAATAAAGGTAAATAATACAAATTTCATTATATTCCAATTATGACATTAGATACTCAACAAATTAGTTAATTCAACATGTACAAGATTTCTAAATGTTTCAAACTATTATTGACTAGTTTTTGAATGAAATTGAGATCATGTGACCCAAAACGACATCTGATCATTTTAAACGTATGATTGATATTTCTGCTCATTTAGTGTTCGTTTCAATTCATTTAAGCCCATAACCACATGAAAGTTTAGGGATAAAAGTTTTAACTATATTTTAACGTTGCGGTCGACACATTTGTTCAAACTATAGTGAGTCACTCAATAATCTAGTAGTAAACTACACTGCACTTGACAATAAAGAAAAACGAAGTATCAAGTATTGTATTCAAAACATAGCATGTGTAGTCGTTCAATATGTACGAGTTATGTATGATGTTTCAAATACTATTTTATTAGTTTTGAAGTAAAATCGATACCCCATGACCCCAAATGGCGTCTAATCATTTTAAACGAAGGGTTACCTTTTAGGGTTTAGGTTTTAGAGTATAAGGTTTAGGTTTTAGAGTATAGGGTTACAAAAAAAATGTAATTATTCAACATATATAAGTCTTATATGATGTTCAAAATACTATTTTACTAATTTTGGAGTGAATTTGAAACCCATTGACCCAAAACGGCATATTGTCATTTTCCACGTAAGGGTGCCATTTAGGGGGTAGAGTATACAAAAACATAGCACGTGTGATCGTTCAATATGTACAAGTGAAATCGAGACCCCGTTATCCACAACGACATAATATCATTTTACAAGTATGACTGTCGTTTAGGGTATACAAAACATAGCACGTCTCCTACTGAAATCGACACATCACCTAAAATGGCACATGAGTGTTTTAATCATACGACTGCCATTTTTCTAATTCAGTGATCAGTTCGCATCATTTTTGCTTATTCAGTCCGAACAAATCATCTATGATATTCCAATAGTGAAATCGAGACCTCGTAACCCAAAACGGCAT